CCTGCCATGTCTGACAGGGTAAAAAAACAATGCCACGTTACCTGTGGCTGACACACAGAGAGTCATCTTTTAAAGTGTCAGCTGCTTCCTTATGCAAAGGGGCAAGCAAATGTTTTATTAAGAGCTGAATTTGGCTTCTCGTTAACTCTTGGGGTTTTGCTGTCTCCTTAGGAAAATCAGCAGAACAACGCCCTTCTCGTCAGGATGCTGCTGTCTCAAAAGGGACAGTAAAATCGCAGCATCTCTTGCAAATTCCAAGGGCTTCTTTAAAACCACATTTTATTCTATGTTCTCAGTGTTTTCAATGTTTTTGACATGTTCAGCATTAAATCAGAGGCTGAATACTGTAATTTTTCCTGTTTTCCCAGTAAGAACTTGGTTGCTGATTAAAGCTTTGGCAAGGAGTGGGCAAAAATTTATGCATTAACATCCTAACAATGAAATCAAAGTGAATTAGAGTAGCATCATCTAAAATAAATTATATTTTGTTAGTACTGTGTAATGTTCTTTTAACTGATGACAATGATTTATTTCTACTTAGATGAATGATGAAACTAATCAGTGAATTGCTGGATAGATGCTTTGTTAAATTAGTCCCATATTCAATTGGGAATCTTTAATCTATTGCATTGTGTGCTTATTTGTCATTGAATTCATAGGGGGTTGTGCAGGTTCTTCTTTAGTTTACATGCATATGAAATAGAATGTCTTCATTGATTATTGGTGGAGTTTCATTGTATTAAACCAGGGAAAATGAAACAATGGGGCCTTTCCATCTTTGGTTTTGTTTGGAAACGCCTTATAAAAACCACCTAATGAAATCCTTTATAAAATTATTTGAAACTTACTTTTAAAGGGAATTCATCCCACTTATTTCCAATATGCAAGGTGTTTGTCGTTAACCGTCTTTGCAAATCCTATGGTAATGATTGCTTGAAAATGGAGGTGAGTTGGTCATTTATTTTTACATTTTCTGTATTACAGTGGATGAACTGATGCTGAGCTGTTTTTTCTAGTCCACCCACAAGACTCCTGACTGTTCATTAAAATTTTATGAATGAAGAAAATAACAAATGTGTTGACAATAAAAATAACAGGAAGCTAATATTAATAGAAATGCTTTTGTTACAACTTTACTGTCCAAAGCCAGCATTTTTCAGGCCAGCTTACAATTCTAAGGGAAAAACAACTGAGCTTTTTGTGAGCATTAAGCATAAATGACGTCTGGGGCCCCACAATGTGAGAACTTATATGCTGTTAACTGTGAACTGACAATTTGCCTAGCAAAGAGTTATGCTGTGGGAGGTAAAGAAGGAAAGCATGAGAAGGTTTTTCTAACTCCTGTGAAACATATTTTGCTGGTAATAGAAACCTAGAAGCAAACTTGGGTTTACTATATAGTATTATGTCCAAATAGCACTATCACATTGGAAATATCTAACACTCTTGATTGAAAATTGCCTCTTACTGAAATGACAAGTAATGCCCAAGTCTATTTTACAAAACAGTAAAACTGATTTAATGCTGGAGCAAGTTGTAACAGTCTTCTAACCCTTCAACCCCAACATAACATTCAAAACGTCTGAAGGCAGATCACCCACACCGTGAAGATAGTATAAGATCGCTTGGTGTGAGGAAACAGGTCATTATTGGAGTCCATCTTCTATGGTTTTTACTGTAAGAGGAAAACAATAACTTCAGATTTTGGTAATTAATCAAATATTAAATCCAACCTTAAATCCACACTGCAAACCCCAACAAACCAGCAGTAGGAACAACTAGAGGACGCAGGGAAACATCTTGAAAGCCCAGTGGTGATGTGGAAAGCTAGTAACAAGCTGAGTAATTCTACTGTGTGTTAGGGCTGGAGCTTCCTTTTGCTTAATTATGTTGCAATTTTGCTTAACCTGTCGGCATCTCATATGTTGGGCAGCCTAAAGGAAGGAATGAGCCGAATGCTTATGGGAAGTCACAGAATGAAGCCCATAGCGTTTCAGCTTTGAAGAACCTCTAAGTGGCTTTATCTGTGCTCTCTGTCCCATGAGCATCCTTTGGCTGTGGAGCAGAGGGAAGCGTGCCATCCGCACTGATGTCCCCTGCAGCAGGTTGGCTATGCTGCTGCTAACTAACTAGATTACAGGGTGGTGATTTCCCAACAATTTCAAAGCCCAGGACCCTCTTTCTTTGAAAGAGGGAAAAGAGAAATGCCTTCTGCAGGGAGTCAAAGGAAACCAAATGTTTTGTAGTCTCTTATTGGCAACACTTGAGTTTAAGACTTGTATGATTTGTGTATGACCAGGCAGTTTGTTTGGACAGACAGGCTCAGGACAGAGTTCCTGAAATGCCCCTGAAGTCTGAGCGATAATACAGAGCTATGATTAAAACGTTTGAAGGAAGGTCACGTGCAAGACAACAAATGCAAGTGTCTCCCGGGTCATCCTAAGGAATTGCTCTTCATTAAGCGAAAAGCAGCTGAAATCCCACCAAGCAGCAGCGTCGCTTATTCCTTAGGCCTTTACAAACCCCGCCACCGTTATGGTACTGGAACTATATCTTGTGCATAACGGCTGTAGAAAGTTTGTAAGTATGGTCTTTTGGAAGCTGCATCTGTTGAACATTTTAAGCTAAATGGTGCAATGTAGTCTGATGTTTGTGTCATGTTCTGAATTTTCAGTAGCCTGACCGGGGAGGCAAAAGCTTCTGTGGGCTCTTGTGGGCATGGTGGATTTTTGCAGAGAACTGTGTTCAGCCTGATTTTCCTCCTGTGTCCACAGAGTGAGTAGATTTCTTCGCAGGTTAGGCAGAGGGACAGCCACCATGGTGATTTTATCTGGCCCTTCTACTTTCCTTTGGCTCTCTCAAATCACCCTAGCGGCCCTGATTCTATTCTTTTGTTTCTGGGACTCTCTGAAGGACAAGAGTTTCAAAGCTTCACATGCTTTTGGAAACGAAAGTATGTATGCAAGTGACAACTAATATTGTCATCTTTGAGCATAACAGGATATAAGCCTCCTTTGAAGGACAGCAAGTCATCCCAAGCAATATCAAAGGCTGTTTGCAACTCACAGAATTTTTGAAGCATTTAGTAACGCCTAAATGTTTGTTTTGGGGATCTAAAGTCACTCAACATATACTAAAGCCCCATAATTTATGTGACGGTGCGTCCACAACTCTTAACAGCGAGAGTTAATGGCTGCTGCCTTTTTCTGTGATTTGTCACAGCTTTGCCTTTTGTATAACTAGCTCTCTTGGAAGGAGCTTTGATATATCTTGATAAGAAAGGTTCTGTTATTTATAAAACATCTCTCCTACACTTCCTCTGATTCCCATCCCTCCACCCCCCCTTATTGAGTGTGTGAGCTCTCATTTGGTCAGGGTCACCTCAGAGATGAGATGTCCTTTGAATTTCAAGATACGCTCCTAGTTCAATAACTGTGTAAATTAAAAAATGTTCTTGAGAAGGCAGATGCAGGACAAGAGTGCAGCTGCATACCCAGTATTGCTCCGCTGTGCTATCACTGGGTTCCTAACAGTGGCCGGGCCTCAGGAAGCTGAAATTTATTTTTCTGCTTTAGCATATCTTAATCCAGAGTTAGGATAAGCAAAATGCTTTAATGTTTTTCATTAGAAAGCGGGCTGTGGCTTTATACTGACTAAATGGAACCTGGTTTTCTGAGAAAAGAAGATAAAGCAAATAAATCTAAGGAAGAAAAGAAATAAGACATTAGAAGTTAGTCCTAAAAAATGCAGAGTTTGTGCTATTATGCTGGGTCTGTTTTCTGGACCATGTACGCTGTTGTAATGCCTGGTGAATATGTGATACAATGTTAGACGTCGCTCTGTACATCTAAGTGAGGACAAGTGCTGCCACCGTTCTTCCTTGTCCTCCCACAGAGGAGAATTGTTTTGCGATGCTGCATCCTGTCACCGTGGCATTTGCATTCTCTGAGGCCTGTGCAGTAACTTCTGTCTTCACTGCAAAGTCAGGTTTTGACAGGTTTGCTAAATAATAAATCCCTGCACAATTTTTTGCATGAGGAGAATATTAACTCTTGCATTGTAGACAAATGCCATTCTGTAACTAAATCACACTGCTTTAAATTCACGTGTCTTTTCACCACCTTTTTTTTTTTTTTTTTAATATGCTAGGCTCTGCTGATGCACTGTGTGCTGTGTAAATGACTGTCCCGACCTCACTAAAGGTGAATGACTTGAGGCTGACAGGAAGATGTCCCACCCGTAGTTTTGAGATCCTCTGGAACGAAGAAGGCTATGCGGATCTGATTTATTTCTGTTTGATGCATAGCATAGCATGACAATTTGACCTTGCACTTTTATGCCCTGCTAAGTGGCTACAAGAGCTCCTTAGTTAAATGGTCCCTTTCTAATTTTAATTTACGCTGTGTCTGGGCAGCTGAGTGTTTAAGGAGCTGCTGTCAAGCTCTAAATATCTTTGCCTCAGGCTTAGAGTGACCTGTCCCAGCAACACAACCATGGAGGGAGCCAGGGTGACTCTTGATTCCCAGTGCCCTTCTGTCATCACCTCATTCCCTGTTCCTTCCTTCCTTTCTTCCCCAGAGCTGTCTTTTGTATATCAGCTCAGGAAAGTCACTTTCGTGGATTTTTTTTTTTTTCTTATTTTTTCTTTTCCCCCTGGTTGTCTTATTTCCCGTCTGTCCTTGCAGCTGGGCTAGAAGGCTTGTTGTGACCTGACTGCCTGGCTTGGTCAGTATGTGCATCAGGCAGTTTTGTTTTTTCAGAGACGTTGTTATCTTCTGTATCACATTTGTTGCATCTTGGTTTGGGGTGTGGGGATAAGAACTGTCCTACGTCTACTTACCAGCTAATTTCTGTACTTTTCCCCCCCCTCCTAGCTCCTAATTCTAGCTTTTCTTTCATCACTTTGTGCCCTGCCAGCTCCCCCCAGTTCTCCAGGAGCGGCTTCTACAAAGATGCATGTGTTCTCCTCTGTAAAACCGGTCCTTGTTTTGTGTTGCTAGGCTACTCCCTTCCAGCTGCCACTGAAGAAATGCTCCGTGGTGGGAAACGGTGGGATCCTGAAAAAGAGCGGCTGTGGCAAACAAATAGATCAAGCAGATTTTGTCATGCGGTAAGACAGAAACCTCAATGACACATTGTCTCCCCTTCCCCCTGCTAAGTCTTGGACTTTTCAAAGCTATTCAGTTACAATTAATCAATTATAATTTGCCTTTTTTCTACCCTCCCTCACCTCCCCCCTTTGCAGGATGCTTTACACAAGTGATTTGGGTAAAAGAGGCAAAAAAGAGAGTTCCGAGTGGCTTCTGGAAATGTGCGTGTTGTGTAGGGGCAATCTGCAGATGGATGGGTTAAGGTTGTGACAGGTTGTGCAGTGTCACAGAAGGGGACTGAAGAGCTGCTTTTCTCTTTAATTATGCAGTCTTAGACAGGGTCTCATCCTGCTCTGTCCTCTGCAACTCTAAATGCCGTCATATATAACCCGTTGAACTCCAGATGAGTAGTTACTGACTTATGGGGCAAGGATGAAGAAATAAGTTGGAACAAGCGAAAATGTTCCTGTGTTTTTCTTCCCTGAAGACTGATTTCTGTCTGACTGTCTGAGGAAAGGCCAAACCTCTTTCCTTGATGCAGGTTTTTTGGGGATTCCTCACATTTCCTTTCCCTCCAGCCTTCCTGAAGTTATAAGAACCTGTCAGGAGGGATGTTGAACCAGCTACTGCTTTCATGATTGAATTTGGCACTTTGTAGGTCTGCATTCTTTAAGGAAGAAAGACAGAAATTAGTTCCTCCCTGTTGAACATGAACAAGAAAAACATTGTGGGGGAGAAACTGGAGGAACGCTTCCAAAGAGATGAGAAATTAAGTTTCTTTGGGTTTTGAGATGGATGCATAATGAACACCCACTTTAACAAATCTCCCTATTAGATCCTGATGGCTTATTATAAAGCCATACAAATTTGCTGCAAACCAAACAGTATTACTGTAATTTCTGGTTTGCATCTCAAAGACCAAAAATGCCTTCAATGTTAAAGCAAAGAAATACAACAAACCAAAGGCAAAAGGAACCGTATACTTAGAGCATTCACAGAAGAGAAGATGTAAGACACAGGGGGAGAGAGGCATTGTGCTGATTGCCATTACTGCAAAACTCCTTAGGTGTTCCTCAGACTAAATATAAGAAACTACAGGGTATATACTGTGGTAATATTATCTAGATGCAATGGGAAATTGAAATGCTGTAGGAGCAATCAGTAACAAAAACAATAGAAACTTTTTTTTTTTTTAAAGACAGCAGTTGTTGTAGCTTGATCAGAAAAATTCTTTTCTCTCCAGGGAGGGTAAAGCAACCGTTATCTGTACAGAACTTACTTTGAATTGGAAATAAGTGATAGGGAAAATCCTGCAAAAATCCCAGTAGCTGCCTGCAGGCTGTATTGTATTAGTGATGTGCAGCCACATTTATGGAAAATGTTTCTGTTCTTTTGGGTTAGAAGCTAATATACCACTGGGAGAAAATATTTTTATAGCAGGTGGAAGATAGGATTTAGTTGATCTTTCCTAAATCTGATTTCTGTAATCTCAGAGCTGAGAGAAAGAGCACAATATTGACTTGCATAACACGTTTCTTTTTTTTTTTTTTTAAAAAAGAAATTTGTGTAATATCTTTAAAGTATTTAGGCAGTGTAAAATGTCATGCCTTGTTTTGCACTTGTTGTTTCCTTCCATTCACATGGTTTTTGATTTCACTTAAGTGTATTTCCATAAGCTCTGTCGTATGACTGCAGCCATCTTCTCTGATATATTGTAATCACTAAGGTTAATTAATGAGTTGAAACTTGTCTCATTGCTGAGCATCTTCTACAAAAACAGTTGTGCCAATGTAGAGGTTAAAAAAGCAGCAGTTTTCGGCCCCAAAGACATAGCACACTGCATCTGCAATGGAAAAGGTGCATGGCTTATGGTCTACATGTTTAGGTAGTGTGGTTATAATAGTCTCTTCTTCTGATACCTGGCTGGTTTTCAAGTTTGTAATCCTTATTTCTGAGTAAAATTTTTTACTTGCTCTCTCCCTTCCTGCTGCTGCTTATTTTAAGAGAGAAGTGTTGGATAGTAAACCCTAAGTGATATTTTTGTCTGTATTTTGACAGAAGAGACACATTTTCTTGGCATGAGATTTTGAAGAAATATTTCGACATCTCACAATTCTCCTTTTCCCCCAGTCACTTTCCATGGATCTGCTGTGGTTTGTACGTCTCCCAGAGAGAGGGTTTTTCTCTGTAAAATAGCAGAGGATTGCGGGGAGTTCTCTAAGCTGTTTGCTGGTGAATTTGTTCCAAAAGTAGAAGCAACTTTTCACTATTTCAAGTTGACCAGTGGCTGTTGTGGTTTGGGGAGGCCAAGCTGTTATCTTTTAATCATGCTGTGCCATGCCATCTAGCCATACCAGCCCAGGTGGAGCTGGGGAGGTTAAATATGGTTGCACTTTGGGGTTGTAGACAAGTCCAGAGAAACATGGCTTTCAGCTGCCTGATAGAATTATTGTCCTGATGTTGGCCAAGATGCCACAAAGGAATAAAAATGAATGCTTGCAATTATGTATAAAATTCATATTAGTCCCTAGCATTCAGTACGTGTGCCTGTATAGCATTCTAAAATAGCTAATCACATAGCATCTACCAAATGCACAGGCATCAGCCAAGTTGCCTGGATTCTCTGCTCCTACGGGACATGGACTTCTGTCTGGGCCAAACCTAGAAGAGGTGTTTCTGCCCAGTGAGGGTTGAAGTATCATTTTACCCTTGCTGCTGTTTCTGCCTGTTGAGTTGGAAGGTCTCAGATGGAAAAAAAAAGCATACATGGACTGCTGTGCCTGCTGATGATATTTTTTCCCCACCTGAAGGCTGGGTCGAAGTCATACTATATAGAAGACCAATATGTCCCACTCTTCCAGTTAGGCTCATGTCAAAAATGCTGGCCTGAAATGCCGTCCTGGTGCTTCCTTCTTTCCTGCACATTCACATACTTACTCCACAGTACCAGGAGCCAGAGTAAGATAATTAAAAAGACCTTTCTTATTATGAATCTTTTGTTTCTTGGTGTGTTCCTCACCTGCACAACACTTGGCACTCTGCTGACCTGTTCAAGAAAATAATCTCAAAGGCCAAGAAGTTTCTGTCAACCAACTGATTTCTTAATGAGTTTCCTCTGGATACTCAGGCCATTTCTTAACACTTAGAGTCATAAAATCATAGAATGGTTTAGGTTGGAAAGGGCCTTGAAGATCATGAAGTTCCAACCCCCCTGCCATAGGCAGGGACACCTCCCACCAAACCCGGGTGCCCAAGGCCCACTCGAGCCTGGCC